CACTGCTGTGTCCTAGGACCGAGAGCTGTGCCTGAGATATTGGGGACGGAGGGAGGAGCAAATGAGTGCGGGGCGGTGGCTTCCCAAGGTCTCTGACTGGTCAGTTGGAGAGTCAGGGTTAGAACTCACTCTGTGACATTTTACACTCCAGCCACCTCCTTGATGGCTTTGGGCTGGTTGCAGTGGGTACCTTTCCAGTCATGCCACAAGGGGGCAGTGAAGAGTGCCTCAGCCTCTGCAGGCGGCCACCGCTTAGTCTCTCCCACACACAGGTGTCCTGCTGTTGCTAGGGTTTAGACTGGAGGCCACTAGGTGGGTGGGGCATCATGGCGTAAGCTCTCTGACCTTGGGCCCCCTCACAGCCATGGTCAGGATTTCTGGAGAAAGGGCCTGAGTGCTCAGCCAGGGCCTTGGCTGTTTTCTGCAACTGCCACAATTGTTTTGCTAGAACTCATTTATCCATTTATTGTGGCCCTGGGTTGCACCCGGGAGTGCTCTACCACCACCCGCTCCCTCAGACCTTTTCATTTTGAGACAGGGTCTTGCTAAGTGGCTGACACTGGCCTGGAACTTATGATCCTCCTGCCTCAGCCTCCCGAGTGGCTGGGAGTACAAGCATGTACTACTGCACCTGACCAATAATATTTATTCTTAATAAGATTTATTCTAGATTGGAAATGTTAACGTAGTTTTTTGGATACTGTTTTCTCTGTAATTTTTAAAATAACCCTATGAGATGACATGTAGGGGCAGCTAACTTTGCAGATGAAGGAGGGCCGGGTAGCCAGAGTGCTGGGCCCCACAGGATTGCGCTGTGGAGTGTGGTCTCCTGCAGGCAGCTCCTGTGCCCTGGGGCAGGGTGCTGGGCAGTACCTCTGCAGCATGGGGAAGGAGGAACTGAGGAAGAGCCTGGGCTTGGCGGGCTGAGGGTGGGGTGCAGAGGGGGCAGTTCCACACACTTCAGTGGAGACGTTTAGGAAACGTCTGGGGTCAGTCCTCTAAATAGATCGCCAGGCCCAGAGGCTCTCTGAGGGCCTGTGGAGGTGGAGCCTGGGGTCTGGTTCAGAGCTAAGGCAGAGGGGGCGGCCAGTGCAAAGACCCTGCTCCTCCCGTAATCGCACTGCTGTGCTTTTCTGCCACTCTGGTTTCCTCAAGTGCCAGATGGGGACAGCCCTGCAGCTCTGCTTCTTTGGTGGCTCTAGGCACTGGTGCTAGCTCATAACAAGCAGATGGAAGATGGGAGCCTCTATTTACTCCTCCTACCTCACCACACAGCTGCAGGGTGGGCTTCAGCCCCCCCCCAAGCCAGCCCTTGGCCGTGCCCTGACCTTGTGGAAGCACGGGATGCTGTTGGCTGGCTCCTGGAATCTGGGGCCTCTGGGTGAGAATGCCTCCCAGGCTAGTGGAATTGTCATCACAGAGCCACACTCCTGCATCCCATGCCAGGGCTCCTGCCCTCGTCCTTGTCCTCTGCCTGTCCATTGTGCCTGCCACACAGGGCCACACCCCCTGCCTGCCACCAGAGTGGGGATCTTGTCAGTGATCCCCCTCGCAGCCTCCCTGTGTCCCTGTCTATCCGTGGAATGTCTCCCTCCCCTCCCTGCTGCCCCCCAGGGCTGGGTCTGAGCCTGGAGCCTCTCTGTGCTCAGGATCCTCTGCCTGGGGCCCTGCTCAGCAGACACCTGTGCCCTGTGCCCCTTAGGTAACCACCAGCCCAGGGTGGCCTCAGGCCTGGGCAGGCCATGTGAGTGGGGTGGGGTGCAGTGGGGTGGGAGATGGGAAGAGTGAGGTGAGCTCCCCATATTAGGCCTCAGTTTCAGGGTAGAGGGTGGGGGCTTCTCATTTTGATGGGTAGGTGTGACCAGTTTGTTACCCTCTGTGGAAAAAATAAATGTTGCAGCTGCCTACGGGTCAGTCAGGTGGAGCTGCTGAGCCTGGCTTCCAGTCTCAGCAACAAAAAAAGTTCTTTGTTGAAGTGAAATTCACATAAAATAAAATGAACCATTTACAAGCATAGGATCCAAGCTGGGTGCAGTGGGGCGCCTGCCTGTAGTCCCAGCCCTTGGGAGGCTGAGGCGGGACTTTCTCCTGAGTTTGGGGCCAACCTGGACAACAGTGAGACCCAGTCTCAAGAAAAAATGCAGAGTCCAGTGGCATTCAGTGCGTGCTCAGTGCTGTGCAGCCACCACCGCTGCCTGGTTCCACGACCTTTTCATCACCCCAGGAGGGGACCAGATAGCCCTGGGCAGTCATGCCCACCTACCCCAGCCCCCAGCCCCGGCCACCCCAGTCTGCTGTCTACCCTGAGCATTTCATATGCATATGGAACTCGGTGTCCGGCTGCTTTTACCGGCCCGACCCCCTTGTGTAACACAACATATTTTACTTTCTGTCTGGTAAAGAGTGTAGAGGCGGTTGTCCCCCACCCCCCACCCGTGCACCCACCAGAGCCTCCCAGTTCTCTTTGTGGGAGAAGATGGCTGCTGGGCGTGGGCGTGCGGGCAGGACATGCAAAGCCACAGCCATCCCTTGAGGACAGATCGTGCTATGGTGGCTCTGAACTGGGGCAGCTCCCACCCTGGCCAGCACTGGGTGCTGCCCTGTGGCTCTGGCTTACCTCTCTGTAGTGTGGCAGCTCCTCTGGGTGCCGAGCACCGGCTTGGGCGCTGCTGCTGTGGCTGCGGTGACTGTGGCCCCTCTCCCAGCTGCCCCCTCCTGCCACCTGGCTTCCTTTCCCAGCAGCCAGCTGGGGTCCCAACAGCCTGGCTGGTGCCCCCCCTCCGAGGCTGTGGTCTGGTGCTGGGGGTGGGGGTGGGGGGGAGAGGTAGGGTTTCAGCCCTCCCCCGGCAGCTGGCCGGCAGGGAGAGGGGCTGGTTGTATTTTAAGCTGTTGAGTGGTTCAGCAGGAACTCGGAGACCTCCTGTCCTGGTGGACACTGCCGCTCTCCTGTGGGCCACACCGGCTTGAAGGCATGTGGGCACTGACCGCCAGGGGCCCAGGAACTATTAATATACTGCAGCCACGGGGCCGGCGCTGTGCCCGCCTGCGCCCTGCCATTCCAGCCCTTGCCAGTGCTGTCCTCTCCTCGTGTCTCTGGTGGGCCCCGAGGGGTATGACCAGCTCCCTTTTTTAGGCCTCTCCATATGCCAGCTGCTCTCTGGCCATTTTTGTCCCTGTGGGGGTTCAGTAACCTGCCCCCCAAGGCCACAGGACTAAGCAGAGCCCAGAGATGATAGCAGGTGATGTCTCTGATTCGGTTCAACTAGGCAGCACTGGCCAGGACTTCCTGGGCTCTGTCCCCTCCTCCCCTCAGGTCCAGGCCGTGGGGTAGGCATGTCGGGGACGGGCAGGCTGGCCCAAGTGCTGCTTGGACCTGCTGGTCAGCTGGAAGCCAGGATATGAACACAGGCTGCTGCCCTTTGCCACCATGCTGCCTTACTGGGCAGGGCTCCCTCCTGGGGGACCTCTCATTCCCGTCCCCAGGACCCATTGTCATGGCTGCTTCCCGTCTGTCAGACATGCTGGTGCTTCCTGTGCCCTGGCCCAGGAGACCCTGCCTGCCCCTGAGCTGAGGCACAGGGACGTGCCATGCCCAGGGCACTTGGGCTGCAGGGCAGGGCTGGGTACAGCTCACAGTGTGCCCTGTCCCTGCCACTGTGGTCAGGAGTGTGTGAGGTGAGCCCCTTCCTCAGGTGGGCTCTGGGTGGGTGGACACCCCCTCAGCGGCCCTGATGGGCCTGCTCTGGGCCTCAGGTCCTGCAGCAGTGTGTCTAGTCCCTTTTTCTCAGGCAGCAAGTAACTGGGGGCCTTGGAGCTCTGAGTGGGGAGGGTCCACAGCAGGGGCCGGCAGGGGCCAGCTCGGGGTGACCTCCAGCTCTGCTCACCATGACTTTGCCCCCTGGGGCATTCAGGTCTTTCCTGACCAGTCTGGGCACTGCCCACCCCTGCTCCAGCAGCCTTCTCTGAACTGCTGGTCCCTGGTGCTCCCTCCTGCCCAGGGCAGCCCCTCTGCACCGGGCTGTGTGTGAGCTTCCGGCCTGGATGAGGGTGTGCTGGCTGAACCATGGGAAGACTACCTACTGGTGGCCTTGAGCAAGGCTTGGGGGGAACTGGTGAGCAATGGGTGGAGAGGGAGGCTCGGGAGGCAGGGGGTCGGGACCTTGTAACTTGCCTGCAACTTCCTGTTCCGGGTCATTTCCACTTAGAGAGGCTTTCTGCACCAATAACTGTGGAATCTGTCACCTTCCTGGGAACACAAATGCACAAGGAAAATAATCCGAGTGTCTTTTACAGCTCAGAAGGGGAAATGGATGATCTATCTCACGGATTCTCAAAATAGCTGGGGTTTCTCCAAGCGCAATGAACTGCTTATGCCTGAGTTGGGTGCTGGGGCCTGGGCCGGCTTCTCACCCTCTTCTGGCCACTGGCCGGAGGCCCCTACTCTGCTCAGGTCAGGGAGGGGCTGACGGGCGTCTGCCTCTAGGGATTGCCTTGGCTGCCCTGGTGCTGTTGGGGGACTGTGTCTACTCCAAAGCCTCCTTCAGGACAACCTGGTTCCTAGGGGCTGCCCTCAGGACCCCCTTGCCCCCGCTGCAAGGGGACTGTGGCATGACTCCTTAGTAGGCTCAGTCTGGGACAGTTTTATATTTAGCTGTGCTGTGGCTCTGGTGCCACTCGGGTTACATCTGGCACACAAGTCGGCAGAGCCAGGGCAGGCGCGGGATCTCTTCCAGCATCGCGGCAGAATTTGATCGCGCCAGCCCGGCCCAGAGCTGCTCCTCGTGGGGAGGTCCGTGGTGGGGGCTGACGGCTGGCAGCTGGGGTGGCAGCCTGGGTGGCAGAGCAGAGCAGCCGGGCTGGTGGCGGGCAGTATGGATATCAGCTTGAGCCTGGTGGCCCGGGAGGCCAGCCAGGGGCTGAGCCCTGGCCTCAACGGCTTCCCCCGGCCTGCACCTCCCAAGACAACCAAGAAACCTAAAAAGGCTGTTCTCTTTTTTGAGGTGGAGATTCTAGATGCAAAGACGCGGGAGAAGCTGTGTTTCCTGGACAAGGTAGGACCGCAGTGCCCGTGACACGGCCACAGGCCCCAGCTCCTTCCAGCTCTTTCCTCTACCCCTTCCCTTCAGAGGGCCCAGGAGGAATGCTGTGATGTGTGGGACAGAGTGGGCAGTCGTGGCCCCTGGGTGTGCCTGGGAGCTGGTCTCCTGGCTAGGGGAGGAAGCAAGGCAACCTCAGTGGAGCCCATGGTCTGCACTGAGACCTGTTCCTCTGAGGCCAGTCCCCGGGCAGGGGTTTGGACCCCACCAATCCTGGGCAGAGAGGGACAGCAGGGGAGCAGGCCCCACTTGCCTTGTTGGCCTTGCTGGGCTGGGGGCCATCCTGGCTTCCTGGTGGCACTGGAGACCCCTGCTGAGTTCACACTGGCAGAGCCTTTGCTGTACCTGCCTTGATCAGTAGGTGGGGGCCTGGACCCCATTCTTCTCCTGTGCCCGTAGCCGCGGCCCAGTCCTTTCTCCTGACCCCTCTCCATCCTGGGGCTGATGCCTCCTTGCTGGTCTTTCCCCAGGTGGAGCCCCAGGCCACCATTGCAGAGATTAAGAACCTCTTCACCAAGACTCGTGAGTCCAAGGAGTGCCACAATGAGCATGACCACTCCTTTGGGCAGGGTCCTCTGGATGGGACCAGGTCCTGTGTGTTTCTCCCTTGAGGGAGACATGTAGAAATGCCTCCGTGTGACCCAGACCTCTCTGGGACTGACTGCAGCAGCGCCCCCACATGGCCATCAGGAGGAGTGCCCTTGTTGGCTTTCGGAGGGACAAAATCCTGCTCTGGCAGTGCTATCCTGGCCTGTGTCCTGGAACAACACAGGCTCAGAGGCCTTGCCTGGGAGTTGGGGGGTCCTTGAGCCCTGGCAACACTGAGAAGCTGGCACAGTGGGTGGGAAGCTTGCAGGCTAGGTCCTGCCAGGCTGAGGGTTGTGACACTATTCTCCCCACAGATCCACAGTGGTACCCCGCCCGCCAGTCCCTCCGCCTGGACCCCAGTGAGTACAGCTGTCCGCTGGGCTCACCCCGTGGCTTCCGGGTGGCAGTGGGAAAAGCAGGGGCAGCCCCTGAGTCCTGGCCCACCTCTCTGCAGAGGGCAAGTCCCTGAAGGACGAGGATGTGCTGCAGAAGTTGCCTGTGGGTACCACAGCCACACTCTACTTCCGGGACCTGGGGGCCCAGATCAGCTGGGTGACGGTGAGTCCTGACCCCTCCACCATCCGCCTTTGCCACCAGCCACATCGGGAGACTCACTTTGCTCCCTGGGCCCTCAGGTCTTCCTGACAGAGTATGCTGGGCCCCTTTTCATCTACCTGCTCTTCTACTTCCGGGTGCCCTTCATCTATGGCCACAAATATGACTTCACGTCCAGTCGGCACACAGTGGTGCAGTGAGTGGGGTCAGGTGGGTGGGAGGGGGGAGGACAAAGGACAGGAGGCCTGTTGGACCAGCCCCTGCTTCCCCACCAGCCTCGCCTGCACCTGCCACTCTCTGCACTATGTCAAGCGCCTGCTGGAGACGCTGTTCGTGCACCGCTTCTCCCATGGCACCATGCCCCTGCGCAACATCTTCAAGGTGGGCGCCCGCCACGCACCCTCCTGGCCCTGAGTCTGCCCGGGAAACCCGTCTGGCCCCGAGTCTGCCCGGGAAACCCGTCTGGCCCTGCGTCCCCGGTTCTCACCCCTCGGCCCATCCCTGCCCTCTTCCTTTCAGAACTGCACCTACTACTGGGGCTTCGCAGCATGGATGGCCTATTACATCAACCACCCTCTCTACACGCCCCCCAGTAAGTGGCTTCAGCCTGACCCCCACCCTCGAGCGAGCCCTTGGGGCACTAGCCCTAGTGTCCTCCCCTCACGGCCTCCCCTCCCTGCTTCCTCCTCAGCCTATGGAGCTCAGCAGGTTAAACTGGCGCTGGCCATCTTTGTGGTAAGGAGTCTGGACAGTGCTGGGGGGCGGGGGGCCTGGGGGCTCTGGGCTGACCCTGCTCCTCCTCGGACAGATCTGCCAGCTTGGTAACTTCTCCATCCACATGGCTCTGCGGGACCTGCGGCCAGCTGGTGAGTGGTCTACTGGGGTTTGGGAGTAGTTAGGCCAGGTGGGAGAATCTCACCTGCTCCTCCTGTCCTGTCCCCCAGGGTCCAAGACCAGGAAGATCCCGTACCCTACCAAGAACCCCTTCACGTGGCTCTTCCTGCTGGTGTCCTGTCCCAACTATACCTACGAGGTGAGGGCCGACCTTTTCTCCCCACTCCTTCCTGGGTTTAGGGTCCCTTGTGGAGGGGCAGCCTGGTGGGGAAGGTACTTTCAAGCTTGAGGTCTGGAGATGGAGACTGCTGTTCCTGTTCTGGGGCTGGGAGGCGTGTGGCCTGGCCTGTTGTACAGCACTTCCTTTACCTGGGGTCCCTCCACATTGGAGCTTGGTCACTGTCTCTGAAGAGGGTTGACAGGGGAGGTGGCAGAACAGCCTGTGTGGCCCGCCTGCTTGCCCTCACCTCCACCTGTGCTGCCCACAGGTGGGGTCCTGGATTGGCTTTGCCATCATGACACAGTGTCTCCCAGGTGAGCCCGTCACCCCTCCCTTGGTGGTGTCCTGCCATCCTGCTGAGCAGCCCCATCTTGACACCCCCTGCTCTGTCCCACAGTGGCCCTCTTTTCCCTGGTGGGCTTCACTCAGATGACCATCTGGGCCAAGGGCAAGCACCGCAGCTACCTAAAGGAGTTCCGCGACTACCCACCCCTGCGCATGCCCATCATCCCCTTCTTGCTCTGAGCCACTTCCGCTCCACCCGGGCTCAGTCAGGCCGGGCTCTCATCCCCACCCCAGTATCATTCTGGGGTGGCTGCAGCTCTGCATCTGGATTAAAACCTGTCTGCCCCAGCTGGACTCGGACTGTTCCTTTATGGGGCTTGGGGACACCAGACACACTGTGAGGCGTGGCTCAGGGGCCTGGAGGCTTTATTTCTTGGACTGGTCCAGAGGATGGTGGGTGACCTACAGAGCCGGGTCCACTGTAGATTCCTGGGCTTTGGCCAGACGGGCCTCCCTCTGTTCCCGCCGCTTCTTCCGCTGGAGCAGCCGCCGCTCCCGTTCAAACTCCTTCATGCGCTTCACGTAGCTGAGGGGAGAGAAGGGTCTCAGCTCTGGGCGGGACTCCCCTGTCCACTGCCCCTGGTTCTGATCTCAGGAGGGAGCCCATTCCTCTGTTTGACTGGTGCTGGGCGGTGACACCCCAGGTGGTTCCAGCCACCTGCCCAACCTGGAGCCCTCCCGTTTCCCCCTGCTGGCCCGGGCCAGCTGAGGCGTGGGCCAGTGGTGCCTGCCGTGCGTGGGGTCGGGGGCTCACTCGAGGTGCTCGCAGTAGTCCCAGTCGTGCTGCTCGTGCTTGCAGCCCAGGAAGTTGGGGAAGCTGTCGCGCTTGCACTTGAGCAGCTTGATGAGGTAGTGGGCGCAGTAGTCACGCTGCTGCAGCGTCAGCTGTGCCTCGTTCATCTCCTGCTGCGTGGCCACCATCACTGAGGGGAGCGGCAGGGCTCAGCACGGGTGGACAGCCCGCCCAAGCCCCTACTCCAGGGACAGTCCCCACTGAGGACATGGTGGCATGCTGATGGAGAAGGATTACAGCCATCCCTTGAAGTGTCTTTTCCCTGTGTGTCCAAAGGTAACCCTGACACTGAGGCCCGCCAGGAGACGGGTCTCCACCTCCTCATCAACAGCACCGGGTCCTGCCTCCCCTCCCCAGTGATGTCATAACCCTTCAAACAGCCCCCGCTGCAGTCTGGGGCTCAGAAAAGCTTCCCCCAGCGCTCCCCTGGCCCCTTCCCAGTATGGGGTAGGGCTGCAGGGTGGAATCCCAGCTCTGCATTGGCCAGGCCACTGTCACCTTCCTCCTACACGAAGGATTTACAGCCTCCAGCATGGAAGTTCCCTGAGCCAATGACTAGCCATATCATTCAATGACAAGGACAGTTCTCAGAAATGCGTCATTAGGTGATTTCATCACTGTGTGAACATCAGAATGTACTATACAAACTAAGACAGCAACAGGTGATGGAGCTTCACACTGTCACATGGTCTGTGGTGACTGGAGCTGCTTATAACGAATGGTACTTAGGCTCAGGCCTCAGGAAAGCTGGACTATCCTGTGGTCGTGGTATCCCACTCCCTTGGCAAAACTGACCCCAGGGGAATTCAACCTTCAGGAGGCTGACGGGGGCCAAGAGGAATTGTGGCTGTGCACCCTAGCCTGTGCTCACAGTGGCTGGTGACCCTGTGTCCCTGGCCTCCTTGCTGAGCACCCTGCCAAATCGGTGGGACCAAGCCTTCCCCTCCTCACCTCTGCCTGTCTGGGGCTTGGCTCCCTCCACCCACACCACAATGTGGCCACATATCAAGTTCAGGCTGGCTTCTCCCTCTGCTTCCCAGCCACGATTCTCTCTCCCTCAGCCAGCTTCTCGTCTCCTGTCCTGCATTCTGCCTCTTTTGGCTTTTACTCCATCATGCCAGGCGGCACCTTCCCCGGGCTTCTGCCCATTTCTAGGCTGCCCCAAACCCAAACATTAACTGTTTGTTTCCTGAGAGCCATTCATGGATTAGAGTGGGTCCTTATCCATGGCTGCAACTTCCATCCTTTATGTTAAGGAACCCCATCTGGTCCCCCAACTGCACACATCTTCTAGCCCCAGGCTCAGCTATCCACTTATATCCCCCCCGCCGAGACACCTACACTTGGGGCTTAGAGAGCAATCTGACTCCTCCTGTGTTTGGAACTTATAATCAGCCAGCAAGGCCTTATGGGGTACCTGCTGCATGCATGGTGTATTCATGGCTACACAGCAGGGGACATGACAGACAAGTCCCTGCCCTTGGAGGGAGTTAGAACAGACAGGTGGGACACAGTGTCACAGACTGTCTGGCAATGGTAAGGATGAAGGAGAGGGAGTGTTGGGTACAGGAGCAGAGTGTTCAGAAAACAGGTGTAAAGGGCTTGCAGTGAGAGGCCAGGTGGCAGGACGCCATCAACATCAGCAGTGGGCTGTGAGGGGGAGGGTAGGCTAAAGCCCCTGGAGACAAAACTCAGGAGCCCTGGCATGCAGAAGACGCTTGAAGCCAAGACACTGGTGGAGACCCACACTTCCTCCCAGGCAGTGGTGGACAAGGCCTGAGCCTTGGGGCACCAGAGGCCAAGAGGAATTTAGCGTAGAAGCCCCAAGCGAGGTTGAGTCTTGGAGGCCAGGTGAGGAGGGTCTTTCAGGAGGTGTCAGTGGTGAAGGTTAGGTAAGAAGTGGGCACCCACGACAATGGGGCTCGGTGACAGAGCCCTTTAAGTGAAGTGGCAGGGGGAGAGGGGGAGGTGGGGCCAGGGGGTTGTACAACAATGGGGAACAATGAAGGGAAAACTAGTGTCAGAGAGGGAGGCTGGCTGAAGGAGACTGGGCAGATGGAATGGGGGCCATAAAGGGCTCATCTGTAGCAGAGGCTTAGGTGAGGAGGAGCCTGAGGGCAAATGGGGGCAGGGAGCCCAAGAGAGCCCCTTTTTGGTGGCTTGTTTTCTCAATAAGAGGAGGGAGGAAGAGACAGTGACGGTCTGGGGATGTGTCAGGAATGCCAGGCAACATCAACGAGCCACTGGAGGAGCACCCAGGAGGCCGTCAGCAGCCCCCACCCAATCATGTTCTGCCGGCACAGGGGTAGATGCCAAGGAAAGGGGGCCGCGGCCCCCCACCACGGTTTTGGCCAGCAAGAGAAAGGCACAGGGGGCCCTGGTGTTTGGGAAGCAGGTGCACGGGGAATGCAGGCTCAGATGCGACTTTAAGACCATCTGGAGAGGGGACATCCTCCAACATGCTCTCAGACACAGACCTTTCTTTACCCCTACTACTTGGAGGTTCTCTGACCCCAAGTCCACGTCCACCGAGCAGTCACAGCAACCTCTAGACACACCAATCTGTGTCCCTCCTCTGCTTAGTAGCATGGGCTCTGTCCTCTCCGTGACTCTCCCCCGGTCACCTCCTACTCATCCCCTTCTCATCTTCTACCCACTGCCTCCTAAGGCTGCTCTGATACCTGCCAACTGTGCCCCCCAAGATCCCCCTGGTCCCGCCGTCTTCCCTCCCGGGCGGGGAGGTCACTGAACACGGCGCCTGCATCTCTAGTCCCTGATGCGCGGCGCGAGCCGGCCCTGCGTCGCCTGTGCAAACCTGAACAGGAGACACCTGCACGGGGGTACAAAGACCGTGTCCCTTCCCTGACAAGCCTTCTCAAGGCTCCCCGCTGCCCCCAGGACAAAGGCCAGCTCTGGCAGCCTCTCTTGTCCCCGGGCCTTTGCTCGAGTCGGTCCCCTTCCTGGAATGCCCGACACTCGGCAGGGTCGCCGGCGCCTGGGACTTCCTCGCACGGAGGCCAGGTCCGCGCAGAGGATTCCGAGTTGCCTGGGTCCCGCGTCCGCGCCCCACTCCCGCCAGCCGCGCCTGCGCACTGGGCCTTACCGCGCTCCTTGCGCTCCGGGAAGCCGTACTGGGGCGGGAAGGTGGGCATCTGCAGAGGGTCGGGCTCCACCGAGGCATCGCCCAGGTAGCGCCGGGCCAGGTGCGCCCCCATGTCTGCTCCGCCGCAGATTCCAGCGCCGGCCGGGGTCACCTCACTCCTACCCGGAAGCACTGCCTTCTTCCCCACCCAGGACTTCCGGGTCGCCCAGGCCGCAGCGGGGATCATAGAGAGGAACCCTCGGAGGACTTCCTGACTGGCGAGCGCCACCTGGCGGCCTGAAAGAGGCAGGACAGGCCGGCTCCGGCTCGCTGGACATGGTCGTACCCTGGAGGGGCGGTTGAGCCTGATTCTGGAGCATAAATGAAAATTGCATTTCATATTTTCCAGAAAGAAGCTTTTATTTTAAAACATTAGAATTTCTCTTTGTATCAAGAAGTAATCATACTGATTATATCATTAGTGAATATAAAAAATATGACTTTTGTTGTTTTGTGGTGCTGGAGTTGGAACCTAGGGTCTTGCCCAGGCTGGGTACAGTGCTCTGCCACGGAGCTGCACAGCCGCCCAGAATGTCAAAATTTTATTTTATTTCATTTTATTTGGTACCAGGGATTGAATTCAGGGGCACTTGACCACTGTGTTTCACTGAGTTGCTTAGCGCCTCGCTGTTGCTGAGGCTGCTTGCAATTCGCCATCCTCCTGCCTCAGCCTCCCGAGCTGCTGGGATGACAGGCAGATGCCATGGCGCCCGGCAGAATATAAAAAATCTAAATCAAGTTATTTAAGAGAAATTTGTTAATGAAAGAAAGTCAAATTAAAATGAGCACAAGTCACCCTGGTGCTGGGTTCCATTCCAGCGCTGCCAAACCAATCAACGACGAAAGCAGGGAAAGATCTTATTTCACGAGGCACCGCGGACGGAACCGTGTCCTCCAAAACACAGATGAAGCCCTGACCCCTTAGGAAGCAGCCCCTGAATGGTGACCTTCTTTGGAAATAGGGTCTTTGCACGGAGTAATGAGGGTAAAACGAGGTCATGCCCACGCGGCGGTCGTCCTGGTCCAGCGGCGGGTCCTTAGCAGAGGCGCAAGGTTGGCCGAGGCCCAGCGGGTGTACAAGCCACCAGAGGCTGGGGAGGTGAGGGCGGCTCCCCCAGAGCCTTCTCACAGGGGGCGCCGCCAACACCCAGAACTGTCACACCAGGCATCTGGTTTTTTAACAGCCACCTGGTTGGGGCGCTGGGTGACACCAGTGAACTAACACTCAAGGGCATTTGTCCTTTTTCCTACTTCAACTCCCGTGGGTCAATCCTCTACCCTCCAAAGCAGCGTCCAGGCTTGGGACTTGGTCATGGGCAGCGGCACAGCCAGATTCGTGACATTTGGATGCTGGA